ACCTGACCATGCCGGGCCTCGCGCAAAGCTACACGATGGCTTTCTGCGCTAGCCGTCCCTAATTTAGTAGTGAAAGACAAGAGGGAAGGGGCAGCTAGTCATCACCACCCACCGCCAACTTTTGAGCTACTTTTTTTAACAAAGAGCATGTACGGTAGGATGGAGGATTCGAACCCGCGATCCTCAAATTGCAGCTCGAGCGCCCTAACCATACCGAGCCTCCTGGTTAACCAACCAACTCTGAGTTAATGGTTAGCATTAGTAGCCATTTTCTTCAGTTTTATCATAGGATAAAAGATGAACAAGGTCTGGGGTCAATAGTGTTATTTTGGATTGCTGTATTTTAAAACTAGTAGGTTTATTTCAGTATTTACCTTTGTAACAATGATTGTTGTTTAATCCTCGTGGTTAGGTTATTATATTAGCCCTTAAACCTAAGTTATTATAGATAACTCTGTAGGAAAGAAGAGTTCCAGCAGGAGTATATGTGTTAAGTTCATTGCCTGAATTTTTATCATAATCTCCACAGCACCACAACATTCAGCTAGTGACTTATAAAAGGTTAATCACAGTTTATAAGAAAACTTGCATGTGTTAATAAAGTGGGCCATAGTGCCCACGGTTCTGGGAAACCGGTAAAAGTCAGTGAATTTTATATTTGCGTTCCCGGGAAACATCAAGGAAGAGTTAGGGGGATTTCACGTGATTCAATGATACTTTTAGGACACGGATGGAGGAAAAAATAAATTATCATTAGTACCAAAAAATCACATACAGGTTAATTCTGGCGTATTTAGAACGTTAATATGGGTATTGTATGCATAAACACTGTTTTATCATCATCAATCTTTTTGTTTACCGTCAATTGTTATAGTGTATGCAAATAACCATAATGGATTAGGAAAACAATAGCTAGGAGCGTAAGAACTCTGGACACGACTTCGTCTTGTCTTCCTAAAACTAGGTCATGGAAGATGATTTTACGACAGATTTAAAATAGAAGTTATTAACAATTTACTATTTAGAGACTGTTTCCATAAAGAAATTATTTTCATCTTACAGGTTTTAGTTCATTAACAAAACAAGTCTCCAAGACAGCAGTCATAGAAGAAAGTTGTATATCGAAGGTATAACATAGTCATTGCGTAGGGAACCAAAATGAAGAGTTTAATTTCGATGACGAGGAATCCACTTTAAGACTAATAATGCTTGTTTAATAATTTCAGTAAACTCTGACATTAAAAGATAGAATAAATCTCCACAGTTTTGATGATTTTTTAAATTTCATATCACAATTTATAGTTATTCAATTAGTTATCTAAAATAACGATGAATTAATAATTGTATTTTAATTCCTTACAAATCAAAATATATGCATCACTAAGCATTGCCTGTAGCACGTAACGTCATGATGTATAATACAGCTTGGGCAAAGGTCGTTGACAGGCAATATCTCCAAGAGACAGGTAGAATGTCACCAGTGTCAGTTAAGGAAAACCTGTATAAAGCAAAATATGGATGGCATTGTATAATATCAGTAATTTGGAGATAACAAGTTTTGAAAAAAAATCGAATCAGAAAATACTGAAATATACAGAATGGTTCATTGACAGTAACTAATAATACGGTAAGGGTTTCTGAGAAGAGTGCTGTATTTATTGTTAATGAACCTTTGTAAAAACAATTTAACTTGCGCCAGTGAATAACTGAATATATACTGTTTACATAATAATTTATTATTTATATTCTAGGAAACTTTACTGTTTGTCAAGCAACAAAATGTGCTTGGGACAGGTTTGTTTGTTTTGAATTCCGCGCAAAGCTACACGAGGGCTATCTGCGTTAGCCGTCCCTAATTTAGCAGTGTAAGACTAGAGGGAAGGCAACTAGTTTATGCAACTATAAACGTTTCGATCTTTAATCAACAGATTTCGTTTCGTGTATGAAGTGTCCTGTATATACAATTAGAGTTATACAACTCACTTATTTATAAGTATAAATAAACAAGCATCTTATGAACAAACAGAACCTGCATAAACCTGAAAATATTTTCGGTAACGTGATGATCTATTCATAAATATGGCCACGTTAATTTAAATATTTCAGTAGTTTCGATGTAGATGAACTTGAAACGCACAGTTTCAAAGCACGTATTAAAATAATGTGTGGTTTGAATCAGCTAAGGAAATCGTTAACATGTACAGTTGTTTTATAGACAGTGGCGGCGCTACAGGGGGCATTTTCCTACCATATTTTTTCCTTCTTCCCAGTTTAATCCTACACATACCGGCACTACCGTTTTATGGGATATATCTTGTCTATTAGAAGTCAACCATATATATTCGATGACGAGGAACCCACTTTGAGACTAATAATGGCAGGAGACGGCTTGAATGGGTAATGAAGAAAAACTTTAATATAAGTTTAACATAACAGCAAATGTACAACGT